ATAAATAACAAAAGCAATCAAATACTTACTAGTTAGCTAACTGTTTTCCTAGACATTGCATGAGTAAAATGCAGATAGAGATTTTAAATTAAACGTTTTAGTTCCTTTACAATTATTTTTTTACATGTCGTCCATTCATTGGTAGGTCAATGTCAAAGAGAGACCTATTTAAATATTTTTATTTTTGTCTGATGAGTTATTAAAAATAATGGAACATAAGTTCTTGTTTTACGATATTCGAAATAATACAGTTTTACGAGGTTGTTAGAATTTCACAAATAACAGACAATAAAAATGCTTTGTTAATAGACTTTGTGTTAATAAAACAATGTTCAATATTTCATTTCTATATTGGTTCTATCACAGATTTTGTTATGCTAGTACAATCTTGGACACATACCCTATTATATATATATTAAGTGCCCTAAACTTAGAAAAGATTGATTAATAACTACAGCTAAAAATTATGCAATTTTGAAAATACTATAAGTCCTTGATGAAAAATTTTAATTTGTAAAACCGGAGGAAAGCTTCTTCGATGATAACAATGTTGTTGTATTAGGATAAGTTTCAGGTTACTATACTCGAATATTAAGCAATACTTATAACTGCCTCCGTGGCCGAACGGTTATCATGCCGGGCTGCCACGCAGAGGTTCCAGGTTGGATTCCCGGGCCGGGAGAAATATTTGTATGGCCTACATTTATTTCTCCCGTGAGTTTGAGTGTAATTTGTGTTTGTCAATGTAAGTGTAAATGCACCCGCACACAGGGTTACCCTAGTGCGGGGCTGTGTTGAGTGTGTGTGCGTTATCTTCATGATAACATTCTAGAATATTTAATTAAAAAGTTGCCACCGTTATTTGGTAGAAAAAACTAACCTAGAAATCACCCATTAATTTATTAAAATTTTTTGCACAACAAAACAAAATTAAAATGGCGGATTTAATACCATAAGACATTCTCTACTAGTAAATCATAAAAAACATAAGCCATATTATTTGATAGTTAATTTATATGGTAGAAACTAAGTATAGCATAACATATACATACAATATATACATGTATAACAATCATGCATATTCAATCAATCAATCAATCAATCAATCAAATCGTTTATTTGCATAAAACATGGTGGTCATGATAACACAGTAATATACAATATATAAGTACAAGCATGTTTCGCCCGAAGATAATTTAGGCATGTAAAATAAATGAAAAATAGGTCGTCACATGGTTACATTTACATTAAGTTCTATATAATTAATTTAAATTCTTTTACATAAAATTTATTGTAGAAATTCCCTAATAATGTAATATACTTTATTCTTTAACAATTCATATAATTTAGTCTTAAATAATGTAATGGGCAAGTGTTTAATGTCGTTTGGTAGTCTATTGTAAATTCTGACACATATACACATTGACTTACAAATAAATGGACGACGGGTCTAATACAAAAACCACGAAAAAAATGTCCCAAGTCAACCTATTCGAAATTTAAATTGTAATGTCATCGCAGTATCGCGCTGTCAGTCGAACAAATGAAGACTAAAGCGGAGTTTGGCGCTCTGTATATGATTTTAGCGCCTTACAAGTGCGGACACTTTTTAGCGCGGACCCGACGTCCATATAATTGTAAGTCAATGCACATACACAAACAATTTTGATTATATTTTTCTACCTTAGGTACGTCAAAAAAAATTAGTCTATTGGGATTTCTATAATTTCGATGGTTCACGTCAATACTCTTAATAAACATATGTAAATTATTTTTCACAAAAATGCTTCATAAATATATAAGGCAGGCAGGGGTAATAAACCAAGATCTTTAAATATAGGTTTACAGGATTCAAGCGGAGTCCTACCAGTAATTGCACGTATACATTTTTTTTTATTATATTAATACTCAGACTCAAAGTCGAATAATAATTCATTCCGTAAAATAAATTTACACTGAAAACATCACTTTTAAGCTACTGCTCGTTCGCTGTCCCGACTTCCTCAAGAGGAACGAACAAGAAACTCTAGGGATTGCTCTTTTCAAATAAACTTGAACGCTATGGAGTACACTTTGAATCAAATTTGTGTGGAATCTGGAGCCGCCGTCTTTCCAAACATCTTTAGTATTCGTAGTAGAGATGAGTTGAAGTTGTTGCCTATTCGTTTACGTAGAAATGCTCACATTTTATGCTTCCTCTATAAAATCCTGTTCCATCCCACTTCACCTAGCTATCTACGTGAGCGTTTTCAATACCGTCAGGGTATGGGTGACCGCCTGCGATCTGGCACCAATTTGTCCCTCGCCTTCCACAACACAGTTCCCAAAAATATTCGAGCTCGTTCACAGTAAATGCTGCCCGTATGTGGAACCTTCTCCCGGTCGAGGTCAGACAGTCACCTTCGGTTCTGGTTTTCAAGGGTGCTCTTTTGAAATGTTGGGATTGTTCAAACTCCACATGTTAGACCTTTTGAAATATTTATTTACATTCGATATATTTATTTATAGTTTTATTTTGTGCATTCATTTTATTATAGACTTTGTATGTGTTAATGTTATAACATTACTTAATATATATGTATTCGTATGTACATTTGATTTATTAAATTTATCTGTGTATTTATTGCGTATCGTATATTCCATTTCTTTACTTATCTATTTTTTAGTGCCACCACAAAAAACCAACTTTCCTCTCAGATTTTCAAAGGCTAGTTGGAAGAAATCTCTTTATGGGATAAGCTCGCCTTTGTACACAAATATTTAAATTGTTTCTGAAAATGTGTAAGTTACTTTGTGGTACAATAAAGTGTTTAAATAAAAAAAAAATAGTCTCCAGTTTTGTTATATTAATTAAAATATTTTTAATAATTTTATACATATATCCACAACAACCATACAACTATTATAGAGTGTCAACCCCATCTAGTACACCCGAAACGTACTCGAAAGCGTCCTACCCGATATCGCGATGACCACCCATCCTCGAGGAACTAGATTAGTCTTTGCGAATGTAGATGGCGCTTCTCGCCAGCGACCCTGTTTCGCCAAAATGTCACTTTTTCGTGACGTTTTATGCGTGATTACCGACCCGCACCCCCGTGCGCCCTAGTTAGTATCCAAGAGTCCGCGTTTAACACTGATTCCTATTAGAAGTTTTTTCATGTGCATTCCTGTTATAAGTATTTACTTGCGTCGTAGTATCTGTGTCATATGCGTGTGCTGCGTTTTTTTATATGTAATAAATACCCATAGCTTTACCGACAGACTTATTTATTTAGTCGTATAACTTATTTCTCGAACACAAATAGAAATCTTACTTGGTAAATTAAACCTGTCGAGTTTTTAGGTTTTCGCGATTGTTACACATAGAAAATGAAACTATTTTTCCAGATTTAATTCGCGTATATTGTTTTTTGAAACAAACCGACATTTCGGGCCCCTTACAGGTCCCATAGTCACGGTTGACTGTCAGTCAACCGTGTAAAAGGCCCGAGAAGTTGGTTTGTTTGAAAAAACAAATATACGCGATTTAAATCCGGAAAAATAGTTTCATTTCAAACCTAAACCTGTGTTATAGTTAAATACAGAAAAATGTAGAATCTATCTATGTAGAATAGTAATAATAATAATAGAATAGTAATAATAATCTATCTATGTATCTATGTAGAACAGATCTTGGACATTGTCAAAAAAATAGCATATATTTATATTTATGTAGCAGCAGAGCTCCTTGACCTATTTCAGACGCCAATTAACAATGTGGGCATTCATCCGCTCCGGTGTCGAAGAATGCTGGTGAAATTACAGGCACATGCGACTTGTCAAATTACGTCTTAGGGTGACGGGTGGTAGTATGGTGGTGCCCCTCAGATCTAGGCACTGCAACTACTATTAAAAGGTGTGTCGCTTACCACCAGGCGCCCAACTTTTTCGTACCGTCACTTAATATCATATGAAAAATATAAAATAAATAATAAAATAAATTGTATGAAAATAAATACCCGAAAAAAGAAGTTATCGGAAACCCAACAACTCAATACACACAACAACGCTTTTTAAATTTTAATTGAATTGATACTCAATTATTTTTTATGTGAAAAATAAAACACTAGTTTGTTATAATTATTAATACAAAGATCGAACAATCAGAAAAAATTCCTTCGATCTGGCCAGATCCGAACCGACGTCTTCTAGCATACCGTGCCTGACGCTGTACCAACTAAATCACGAAACGAACCAGCGGACCTCACGAATTTTTCTTTGTGCTTGCGTTGTATCTTTGTATTTGGTTTTTCAACGACTTTTTTTAGCTGTAGCGCCATCTATGAGAAATCTATGATATTTCGTCACCCAGTTAGATACCTTTACAACTACCAGCCCCGGCTAGACATGTCGCTCATTGTATTTAAATTTTCATTGAATTGATATTCAATTATATTTATGTGAAATTACTCCACTAGTTTTTTTATAATTATTAATACATAGATCGAACACTCAGAAAAAAATCCTTCCATTCGGCAGGATTCGAACCGACGTCTTCTAGAACACCGTGTCAGACGCTATACCAACTAAGCCACGGAACGAACCAGCGGACCTCTCGGATTTTTCTACGTGCTTGCGTTGTATCTTTGTATCACTTTTTAGTTTTTTTTATTTATGTATTCACGTTCAGATTATAAAGACCAATAAATACATACTAGACTAACATACATAACAATATAATAAAACGCAAATTACTAATTATTTTCACGTATTTACGTGTGACGCAACGTGGGTGCTCGGTAGCCGGCCTCGGAAACGTTGGTACATGATGACAGACGTTGAATTGGTACTCTCACCACAAATTAGTTATAAATTCACATTGTGGTGGGACCCCAACTTCTCGACCCTCAGGGTAGCATTGGTTTTCACTCGTATATACTCCACAATATCCATAGACTTTGTGGAGTCACGAAGCCGGGACACGTATGATAACAATAATATAGTAACATTTTATAGTCAGTATAATCTTATTTAAAAATTGTAGAATAGATGCATGGCAGTGCAATAGCCAAGTTGCATATTTAATCAATGCTCGAAGAATCTATTACGTAGTCCTCAGTGAATCCACATTTTGTACGCCAAGTGTCTACATCGAGGAGATATTTTGAGGTGATTTCAAGGAATTTGTCTAGACCACACGGGAGACCGCAGCCTTTTACGGGAAGATAGATTTCTGTCTCGTACGGTGACGGAAGGTACACGGGCTGTAAATAAAATGACGCATTAATAAAGATAACTTTTTCACCTCACTAGTTCGGAAAGGCTTTCTTTCTCCATAGAAATCTACGCGCGAAAGGGTTTTTTGCTAGCGAGGAAAAGGTTTTTGAAATTCGAAGTTAACAATGGACTGAAAAAAAATAATGACACGTTTGAATAATTTTCGTACATTATTTATTTATGTAATATAAAACCGTTGGTATATTTAATTCTTATTCTTGTTGACATTAAATTGATTGATAACTAATTGTGTTTATTAAATTATTTTAATTCGTTGAAGAACTAAAATAATTTCAATAATCACTTAATCTCACAAAATAAAAGTACGAGCTACATTGACTTACAATTATATGGACGTCGGGTCCGCGCTAAAAAGTGTCCGAACTTACAGGGCGTTAAAATCGTATACAGAGCGTCATTCACGCTCTAGTCTTCGTTTGTTCGACTGACAGCGAAGCAAGCAAAATTAGACAGTACTGCGATGATATTACAATTTAAATTCAACGTTTTAGCTTTTTCATATTCCTTTACATGTCACTACGTTTAAATAGGTTGACTTGGGACATTTTTTTCGTGGTTTTTGTATTAGACCCGTCGTCCATTTATTTGTAAGTCAATGACGAGCTAGAATAAAAATTGATGAAGTGTAAATTCAGAACGCATCCGAAAATAAACTATTTCTTTTCATTTAAAAAAACTGATCTTTTTTATTTCAATTGTTTTTCTTTCATCCAACAGGAGTTCTATGCGGACAGCCAGAGCGAGCAGACGTGCCACATGCGCTCCCGAGCCACTCGCATTCCCGAACCTTTTATTTACGTCATTATTCACCGCGTCTATCGTCCTTAACCGCGCGGGTTGTCTTATCGACAGTCAACTATTACGAAACTTGAATTACTCAAAACGAACACTCTAAAAACAAAATCTAAAAGTATGGGTTATCCTTAGAATAATAATACATAGAAACCTAGTCCGCACACGCTAAGTGAGGCAAATTAAAGCGCGCCCAAAGGGCCTACACGAGCGGGCGGGCCTTCAGTGCTCAAGGTCAACTTGCACTGCGAACAGATCAAGAATTTTAGCTAAAAATGACGTAATGTGCGGTAAATGAGTGTAAGAATACTAACATCCATTCCACAAGGAAGTAACGCGTTTCAACTTGTATTTTTATATAAATATTCACTAAAACCGAAAATTAACCTACTACTAAAACTAGCCTACATGAATTTGATTTTTGCCTCACTTGTGACAGTTCGTTTGATATGAAACTATCATTCTACGCGTTATTATTCTAAGGGGTTATCACTAAAAGTGCTTTTCCAAATAGTGTATAAACAAAAGTGCATCAAATTAATTACTCAAAAATAACACCCTGAAACCAAAATATAAAAATGTCGATTACCAGTAAAACTGCAATAAACTTTATATAAGTTGTATAAACGTTGTTCAAAAAGTGCAGTGCAAATGTTATTTACAATCAAATCTACATAGAGATCGGAACATTCGAAACAAAACAGCCGGCGACGAGCGAACCTGCTACCACCTGCAACATGCTCGTAACATACACACGAGACCATAAAACCCGGTGAAAGACACCCAAATCTTTTATTTAAACCAACTGCAGGAAAGATAGAATCATTGGTTACTAGTTAATTCTCCGACGCTTTCGTAAATCCACAATTTTTTTATCAGAGACGAAAGACGATTTCTATAAATTAAGTTATTTGCTATCCTATACATTTCGGAACCAGTGCGTTATAATCACACGCCAACCATTTGGAAAATTAAACGAGACTATCTAGGTATTAAAAAAGTTAAGTACAGCTGACAATAGATACTCTGCCCCCTTAGATCGATTTTTCATACAAACTGTCAAAATAACCATATTTCCCTTATAAAAATAAAGCTAGACAGTCAATGGCTAGACATCTAAAATATGCAATAAAAATCTTCAAAAACAAAACGCATAAATATAAAAAATAAATATTCCATTTCAATTTCCACGCCGGATAAATGCAAATTCCACAGCTATGATGTAGCAGCGTGCACAGCTGCATCATAAACAAATTATCCAAAAGACCGACAACAGTAACACAACACAGGTGATGCAATTTACTCTAAATGTCCCTTAATGAATTTCGAAACCCAAACATCAGCAAATAATTTTCCAAAGACTATAAAAGAATCGACAATCAACTAAACGACCCACCATCTGAACGAAGACAATAACCCAAAACTGGCGAAAGTGTCATAAAGCATCTGCTACTAACAACCCAAAAACCCAAGGGCACGCAGTCATCACGAATAAAAACATCAAAACTAGAATCTAACCTTTGTACTAACCTAACCTAGAGTAAGCTCTTTTCCACGGGTCAATCATAAAAATAAAACTAAATAAATAGTAGACATCCCTACAAATACTTCAATAGTTCAAATGCAAGCGGATGGAAACTGGGTTATTCTATACTACATTTGACCATCACGCAACCTTAGCTACAGTAAAGATAATGAAAAAGTCTTACGCCATATGTACGTTATGCAACAGTACCAAGATGGACAGTGGGGAGCAACGGATATTTTAATAGCAGCCGCTAATTTCTACGACATAGATGTCAAAGTATATCAACGAAACAACACTTCAGCACCTTCAGTAACTTTCACTCCAAAAACCAATGATGCAGTGGATAGCATCAACCTTACCTACAATTGAAACCACTACATAGTCCTGTAATAAGTCGGATCTCCGAGTACTCCATACCTATATACTACATGACCGATAACACCCCAGAAGAACAGCTGGATGACTCAGGATACATATTTGTCCAAATTATAGGCCCTCTGAGACAAACTGTCTCGCTAGAAAATATAAAAATAGCTACTTGGAGCGTACGAGGTGCAGCTACGCCAACAAAAAAAACCAAAAATAGATGACCAATTAGGAAACCTGAATCTAATCAAAACAAAAAAACTCGGACATATCCAACGTCATTTGGCCGAAAATCTTGCAAAGTTATTTGGCAACCACCAGAAATTTACCGTTAGACCATACTATCACACACTGACCACAAAATAATTTTTGGCGAGGTAAACCACCAACGACTTAAATCGAAAAACGTAGCATACATCAAAAGATACAATCACCGACAACAAAGAATTTAACAAACTTTGACTATCAACTGCTACAAGGAGAGAATATGGCAACCGAATTCAAAACGAAGTACGGGAAATACATTTAAAATCCAAAATGGACAGCAATGGTTTGATTTCCTGGTACTCGATACTAGAAATCATGAAGATAGCTGCCAAAGCCACATTATCTATCCACCTTAACATAAACAAAAAGCATAGAGTTACCAACGCACGTTTACAAAAAGCGAAATTTTTTAAACGATTCCAATTGAAGATCAATCAGAACTCGCCGAAGACATGAATGAGGAAATATTTGGGGAAATAATCATAAAAATGAAAAACGGCACCGCGCCAGGAATGGATCAAATAGTAACCGAATTATTTAAGGTAAGCCCGCCGGAGCTAAACAGACATATCATCACACATGAATTTGGCCTGAAAACAAAACAAAGTGCCACCAAGTTGGATCCGAATAGTAAAAGTCTCTATTCCCAAAATTCACACCCCAAGAACATCAATGATTAGAAAAACATCTGTTTGCAACACGGGCTATAAGATATGTGCAAACTTCCTATTGCAAAGACTAGATATACCAAGCAGTATTCCTCTAAAATAGATCAACAAACGACCACATTTTTGCGCTCAGGCGAATACTTGATGAGCCTTGGAAGCAAGGCAAACGTATATACATACTTACATTGGACATTGAGAAAGCTTTTGAGATGTAAACCTAAACCCACTCCGGGATAAAACTTCTTACTAGAAGGATTAAAACAGACAGAACTAACTAAAGATAAGGATAAATTTAGGCAACAAGTTGAAGAAATACAAAATTCCGGAAGCCGACACCGAATCAGAAGGGAAAAGAAATGGTACAACTCGAGCTCTATGGACGAGAACACATCCTCACCCAGGAGAATCCACTAAGGCAACAGGAAGCCCAACACCATCAGCGCTCATTCCTAACAACACTACCTAACCACCTACCCAAATAACTAACTACCCCTACAACATACTTTCTGTCACGTGCTGCATAGCCGGCAGGAATCTATCCACCGGTTGCGGCTGGTTGGTCTTCCCCTCCATAATCCCGGGCGTGTCACTCCCCGAAACTGTGCCCCCTGGTATATCCGGCTTGTCCGGGTCAGATTTACTTTGGTGGGGTGTGGTGCCAATGAGCAATGAGCAATTGTTTTTCTTTCATCTACCATTTTCCTCGCTATGGTGAGGTGAAAAGTCGTGTGTTTCGCTGGGCAGCAAAGTTGTTTTGCATCTCGTGCCTTGAAACCCTCGCTACGCTCAGGAATCTATTTTTGAACCACTCGTTTCGCTCGTGTTTCAATCTTAGCCTCCTTCGCTTGTTCAGGTTTCAATACAAGCTCTCGAGTCAAATAACAACTTTGCAGCCTTGCATAACAAATAACTATTTTGAAAAAAAAAAACCGACCTCAAATCTGTTTACCAAGTTTATTGTAATTGGTTAAACGGAAAGGTAGTGAAACGTAATAAACCGGATTCATCCTAAACCCTAATTATCACCCTCATTTGCCACCCTTACAGGTGTATTTTCTTCAAATTTGATGGGATCATTATTGAAGTACCCCTTTCCAACAAAAAAGTATAATCGAAATCGGTTTACAAATGTCGGAGAAACAAAAACACACACAAAAAAATACAGTCGAATTCTATCATTTCCAAAGAGTGTTGGGTAACTTAAGTTTTGAAGAGCTTTATACAGCACTTGTTCAAATTGAAGCAATCCTCAATTCACGACCACTTACCCTTCTCTCGAGCAATTCAGAAGACTTAATGCCATTGATATCAGGGCATTTCATCATCGGTAGACCTCTCACTTAATTGTCAAGCCAGGATTATCTAGATGTGTCAAACAGTCACTTGAATCGTTTCCAGCAAAATAAACAACTTCGACAACATTTTTCGTGCAGATGGAGCAAAGAATATGTTTCAGAACTTCAACTGAGAAATGACGTACTTCTAAAGGCGCATTGAAGATTAACGCTCTAGTAGTTCTCAAAGAGGATAATCTAAAATAGAAATTGAGTCGAGTTGTAGCTGTATTTCCTGGCACTGATGACATCAATAGAGATATCAAACTTCTACAGGAATTGTAAGAAGATCCTTTTCGAAAATGTGTCCACTTCCAACTAATTAAGTATTACAGGTTGATAGGCAAGGCGATTCAAAGGCAATTTCAAAGGCCGGCGGAATGTTCACACATGAAGACTTATTTTTATAAATAGCGCCTACATTTCATAAGGAGCAATTATGTTAATGGTTGATTTTGCTATACTCCAATTGAAGGCGTTTTTATCTCAATATACTTTAAGCAGTGAGCACCGTTTCCTGTGTAAAGTCCCGTATAGTGGCGAACTAGGGGATGAATCCGGTTTTGCGCACTTTCCGGTAACCGATTTCAACAAATCTTGGCAAATATGTAATTCAACGAACTTTTGAGGTCGGTTTTTTAGTACTCTGTTTAGTACTGAGATTATGTATCGATTTTTTTTAGCATTCCAATTTAGTATTTATTTTCTAAGTTTTTAGTTACCTAACAAAATTGATTGAACGTCATTTACCAGGACAACATATTCGCCAGTTTCGACAACCCTTCTCAGCTCCAAGGAGAACACAGATCCGTATTTAGGGGCTCCCTGTCTAGGTGTCACTTGGGACACAGCTTCAAGGGAATAAACGTTGAAATCGTGAGCAGAATACACACGAACCCGCTGGGTGTCTGTACCGTAAATAATCTGATTGGCGTATGTGAAGAATTCGTTCAGAAGAACACCTGAAAACATTATAATAATTGAATAACGTGTTCGATAATTCGAACACAAAGAAAAATTTCTTCGATCTCGATGACTCGATCTGTAACTCAGTTGGTCACCTTGCTTTGGCAAAGACGCAGGTTTGAGTCCTGTCAGATTGAATAAATATTTCCTTGTGTTTGATCTTAGTATTAATAATTATAACAAAATTGTTGACTGCGCAACAGAGAAATGTGTCATCAAGCCTATTAGTTTACAAAGGAATACAACAAGTTATGAAATGGGGACTACTTAAGAAGTACGCGTGCTTCAGAGCAGGAAAGGGGAGGGCAAGATAACGTTGAATAATTCAAGATGGGATGATGTTGTCACCGCTTGCTGTTAAACAAATTTTAATTAACATACACACACTCGTAGCTCCGCACATGGGAAACCCAGTATCGTGGTTGCTGTGCATTTGTATCTGTGTATGTCTACACACCCAAACTTACGAGAATATTAATATGCCTTGCAAACATTTCTCTTGACCCAGGAATCGAACCCGGAACCTCTACGTGACAGAGCAGCATAGTAACCGTTCGGCCACGGAGGCAGAGAATTATTATAAGAAACCAAATATTTACCAGCTTGCAAGGCAATGTAATTATCGTCACCCCAAATTATGTCTATTGCTTCATTTGCAGCCATTTCCAGAGCCGGCATCAATTTCGTCAAATCTGGACCTATATCATAACCAAGATGTTGCTAAAACCAAAATAAATGAATGAGTTGAAATTGCTGTATCTTAATTATTAATGTAAAGACTCGAACCGACGTCTTCTAGCAAACCGTATCAGACGCTGTGCCAACTAAGCCACGGAACGAACCAGCAGACCTCACGAATTTTTCTACGTGCTTGTTTGTCGGATCTTTGTATTTCAAAGATTTTTTGCCGTAGCGCCATCTATGAGAAATCTATGAAAGTATTTCGTCACCCAGTTAGTTAACTTTACAGTTACCAGCCCTGGCTAGCGATGTCGCTATTAATTGTAATTAAATTTGTATTGAATTGATATTCAATTATTTTTTGTGAAATTACTCCATTATACAGGGTGTAACAGCAAGGTGTGGTCATATTTGAAGGTCGGATTCAGTTAATGGTATGAAACTATTTAGCAAAGTTGTTTTAGTACACACTACGTTATTTATGGAAATTTCGCCATGAACAGTTTCGATCAGCTGATGTCATTTAACGAAAATAAATAGTCACATCACATCTCTATTGAGTATCATAATACAACCAAATTACGTAACTTGAAAAAATTGTGAAATTCAGGCATGTTATTGTAAATGATAAAGTACTTAATGCCATATTCTTATTACTATGTTATAATTTACTAAATTTATTATTATTTTATTCATGTAATATGCGTGTGAACATTTAATGAAAAATAAATATTATCGATTACTGTGCTAAAATACACTAGTTCATAATAAAACTATTATTTAAAACTTAGTACATAATAACGTAATATGGTTTCGTTAACTTCATATCTTCAAACATACAAAATACACAAATTTCCATTTAATATCCATTAATAAAACTAATGTCCTCTAAAAAACACATATTTTAAAGTTATCTCTGTTTCTTTTTACCATATCATATGTAATAATACGCATTCATCTATTGTATTTTAATGAATGAAATTTGTCCCTTTCTATCCGTCGGTACTGTTCTAACGCATGGCGGCTAGCGAATCAGTCGGTATGTTTCTTCTAACGCATGACGCAATATGACGCAATTATCCGACTAATACTTCGCACCCTTACAATGAAAGCGACCCAAATCAAAAAATTAAAAAATGAGTTTATACCGTAAAACCATCTTAAAAAAATATTTTGTTACATTAGTCACACTGTGGTGAAGATGAAATTGTGCAATTAAAGCTCGAATAGCACTGATTCATAAAGGTCCCTTTCATTTTGTTCTTTCAGTTTAAAAATTCTACTCCCGCGTCGAAATATTAACGCCGCATTTATTGTTGAATCTGCATTTGCAAAGACAACACGCTGCCACTGACGGATTAGCATTTGAGCCATTTTCGTTCCGAAAATCATATTCAAAAATCACTAGTAGCAGTAGAGCTCCTTGTGAGTTCGTCCAGGGTGGTACTGCCTGTAACATTACCGTGTTACAGTTTTGAAGGGTAAGGGTGCTGGTGAAATTACAGGCACATGGGACTTGTCAACTATGTCTCAGAGAGATGGACGCCGTAGCAGTAGCCTTCGAGCGGCAGTGCTACTGTTATGGACAGGCGTGACGCTTTCCACCGGGTACACGACTTGTTCGACCTAATATTTAAAAAAAAAAATATTTTTTTAGTAACTTACTTTTTAAAGGGACTTACTTTTTTGTTTCGTGGACTTTCTTCTTTTTTAATTGTGAAACAGGGACCACAAAACAATATCAAGGGTTATGACATCTTGCTTAGCTGATGAACATTAAAAAGACTTAATTCTTAATACGTTAAATGATAACAAAAAAATCGTTAAAAAAAAGACCTATTGGCGACTAGTTTTTGTAAATTATGTTTTTAAATTGTTGAACATTAAAATGATCAGAAACAATTTTCAGTTGTAAAGTTCCATTTTTCCTCATTATTTTCAAAGACTAATAAGGCCATCACCTTTAGTACTTCAAGAGTAGGTAATAAATAAAATAATATGAAAATATGTAAAAACTTGAAATCTTATTTTCTTTTTTATTCCCAAAAAGTTGAAATTTTGTATTGGGACACTTTCATCGTAAAGGTGCAACCTGAAGGTCGGTAAACGTCAAGAAATTAGTTTTGATCGTTGACCACGAATTAATTATTGTAATTTTAATTTAATTTAATTTTTTTTTATGATTGATTTAGTGTCTGTTTAAGTATATCTAAATGTTTTAAAATGAATGTTGAGCACAGTAATAATTGGGCACAGATATGCCTGTTGTATTAATTTTTAAGCGTTTTTATTTTCCTCACTTTCTGTATCTGATGTCTGTACATTGTGCCATAAATAAAAAATAAAAAATAAAAATAAAATAAATTTTCATCACTTGCTTGGAAATGAAAATATCGTGAGAAAACTTGGATTTCGGAGATAATTGCCGAAATCTTCAAAGATGCGAGAATGTCAAGTTTCCAACCAGTACTTACTATGCAAGTGTAGTGGACTAAACCTTGTGCAAAAAATAGTACTTTACTAACTTACATACGTCTATTGCTGAGCGCACGTTTCTAACAACAGGCTTACGCTTAATTTGACTTATCTACACACGACAACTTTCTGTGTATGAATTTATTACATGGTGAAATTGAAATAATTAATATCCGTTGAACCTATTAAGGTTCTTACTTCCTAATAATATCTACTCATCTAAAGAAATATTTTAGAATAGTTTAAATTAGCAATAGTGTAAAACCATAAAAAATCTTACCCAAATAAACAAAGTATCAAGATTAGTCGCCTTGCGTACGCGATACGTAATCGTAGCGAAGTCGCAAGCCTTTGGCGGCAACTTTGGCGGCAAAAATATCACCTTTGATTTTCACCGCCAGCATTTGATTTTATACATCGTGATGTGGAGTAGTGGTTAATGTTAGACTCGTTTCGGAGGTCGTGGTTTCGATTCTCATAGTTGACTGGCTCTATGGGGTCGTGAGTTTCCGATGGGTGACTGCCTCCTTAGTGCAGTATATCCGTAATCACCCAGTCAGTTCTTGCGTTGTGTGGAAGTGGTACGGGTGATGGTCAGAGCTTGTTTACAAACAAAAGCGTATGCAGTGCAACGTTGAAGGTCGTAGACGTAGGATATAGGTATTCGTTTAATGTGTATGTAATGATGTAATTTGTATCAGGAGAAGGGTCTTATTTTAAAAGGATGGTAATAATTTTAATTTCATCTGTAGGTACATTATGAAAACGTTACCCTATATTCCAAAATTTGCGTTTCAGTCGGCGTCCTTTGATGTGCCGCCGCTGAGGCAGAGGCGCTATTTTTTAATTTTTTGTAACAGTCTGTAATTGCCGTTTGCGTTGTGAGGACTAAATAGGTGTCATCGTTTTGTTTGTGTCTTGTTTTTGTGTTTATTTAAACTATGTCACGCTTAAGCAATAGTGATTACTAAGAGATGATGTTGTGCGTAGGCGCAGCCGATGGGAGCTTGCGCCAGGCTCGCCAAATTTATTGGGCAAAGTTTATTGATGGCGTCCCAGAAAATCGACGTCGACCATTTCCTACTGTGGAATGCTTCAGGAAGATGGTTATGAGACTTCATAATAGTGGATCGTTCCGTAGTTCCAGTTCTGAAGGCCGGCCGAGTTCACGAGACCCAGAATTCGAGGCAGATGTTTTGGAACATTTTCTCGGCAATCCAAAGACAAGTACTCGTCGTGCTGCGGCAGCCTTTGGTGGTGTGAACCATATGAGTGTGTGGCGTGTGCTACGGGATGATGGCCAGCACCCATACCATTTTCAAAGAACGCAGGAGCTGTTACAAGCGGACTATGATCTACGTTTGGCATTTTGCCGCTGGTACCGCGACCAGGTTGGGAGGTCTCCCGACTTCGCTTCGTCGGTACTGTGGACAGACGAGGCGTCATTTACGCGTGCGGGCATTATCAATATGCATAATGAACATTTTTGGACTCATTTGAATCCCCGCGTATCAAGGGAATCAAATTTTCAACACCAGTGGCGGATTAACGTGTGGGCTGGTATAATAGGTTGTGCCGTCATCGGTCCAGTGTTTTTGCCGGCAAGTCTGAATGGGGCCAATTATTTAAGATTCCTAACAGAAGACTTGGATGACGTTCTGATGGCCCTGCCAGTGACACAATACGTGAGACTCGTGATGGAACACAGGATGACTTTCTAGCACGATGGAGCACCCGCACATTTTGCTCGAAATGTACGTTCCCATATGAACGACCGTTTCCCGCAGTGGATTGGGCGGGGAGGTCCTGTACCCTGGCCAGCGTGGTCCCCAGACTTGACACCGCTCGATTTTTTTTGTGGGGTCATATAAAAATATTGTTTATGCGGAGTCCTGTGAAAGCGCAGAAGAAATGAGGCAGCGGATCGAAATGGCGTTTAGTCAAATCACTCGGCAGATGCTTCAAAGAGTAGAGCAGTCTCTGTACCGACGCACGGAAATATGCATATTGCATGGAGGTCGGCATTTTGAACCTTACCTGTAAATGTGTGAAATGTGCCAGCAGTGCGTGCAGTGATTGTACTTATTATTCAAAATTATCGTAAACAAGTCAATATTTCGTACATTGTACAACAGTGAATTACAATTCGTAGGAAATTCATTAAAACGTGTATGAATTGCACAGTAGGTAAGTACCAATTAAAAAAGTATCCACTATTGTAAAATTGTCGTAAATAAATGTATTAATACAAAATTATGTACAATGTGTATACGATGAAGGCGTGCGTAACTACGGGCTTAATAAGTAAATAAATATCCTTTAAATTGTATGTAAATAAGTACGTACCTAGGTATGGCATAAAATAATATTGTTAGAAATAATTCGATTTTTCTAGGTATTTAAAGATTTTGTTACTTAATATTAACGTGTCATCAACATATTCAAATCATGTTTTTACAGTGGCATTTCAATTGTAGTCAGCTGTTCTTTCGCCCCGCTTGCGGCCGCCCAGGTTTCATTAATGAATTTGTGAAGTCGTAGTAACGTAACTAGCAATAGAGTTGTGACGCAGTGGTTGTTTCGGACAATCACTATTTATACAAACATAATTAAACTTATATCAACATTAAAAGTCACTTATTTTTATTTGATATTTTGCACAGAGGGTCTAGATCAAGTATAGGTTTGGCTCCTTTAATATGACTACACCTTGCGGTTACACCCTGTATACATATGGTGAATATATTGCAATTGTATTGACTCAATAAAGAAAAATAAAAAAGTTACTATGCAGCATCAAATCCAAAATACCTACGCTATAATAACCATGATGAAATGACCAGGCGCTCACTACGAGGAAAAAAGAACCTAAGCACTCGCTCAAAGATGTGAAAATAACGTTGCCCGCCGTGTGCAGTCGTGCGGAACCGAATGCTGGGGTTGTACAAGGGTTGTAATGTAAACAAAAGACTTATCTAAGCGCTTGCATTGTTGGCTATACACTCGGCGGTTTACCGTGTCAAACCAAAACACTATAATATGAAAAACAGCATTTTGAGAAAAAGCTGCGTAAATGATTTTTCGATTTGTTTTTTGTAATTTTTGAGGTTAATAACATAAAAATATACATTTTAACTTACATTGTATATTAGGTCTTAAAGAAATCTACCTAGCCATTATAATTTTACTTTGGAAACTAAGTTATTTCTATTGAAAAACGTATGCGTGTCTTTTCCTTCATTAACAGCCGAAAGATTCTTATTGTTATGAAATTACAAAACACTGTATTGAGCCTTGCAGTGTTTTGGTTTGACACGATAGAATGTTGTTTTTTATTGTCAAAATTTGACCCGCGACAAATGTTAGTAGACCCGCGCTCCTGAGACATTTACGCGATCTGTGAACTAACTCAGGCACCCCAACCTAAGAACCTACTGCGGCGTACCGTGTTATGTCAAAATAATTTCTAACTTTTAAAACTTACAGTGTATTTTAGTTTATAATATCTCATTAAAAAACACTAATATCTCCAAAGTTGAAACGTCAGGATATAATCACATGAGCTCTGTTAAATCAAAACATTGTTAGTAACTCAGTGAGGGTCGTATTCCAAAACTCTACTCAATGCTCAAGTCAGGATTTGAGCAGACTTGAGTATAATTTCAAGCACTGGAAATACGACCCTAACGGCAAGGACTTGAGTATGATTTTCAGTGCCCACTGCAATAGTAGAATTCTAGTAGAATTCTGGAATACGACCCTAAGTATAGGTTTGACACGGAAGCGGTGGCCCTTATCGCGTAATCTCGAGCGAGTGATGGAGTCCTGACCGAAAGGATGATGATGCTTCAATTCCATAATTAATGCGCGTGTAAATGTGTAATAAATGTGAATGTACCGCGAGACTATGTGAATGTGTGCGTCGGTACACGGCGCGGGGCGGGCGTTCACACATACAAGCTGCGCTGCTACGTTTGTGAGGAGTTACCGTACTTGTTTTATTGTAATATGTTAATACCTGTTTTTAATAACATGTGACACGGTTAATTTACAAATTTGAACCTTCTGTCTCCCGTTTAACACAACAAACTCAGACTGGGCTAGGTCCATATTGGATAACAAGTCAGAAAGTATGCTTACCCCGCTTACTAATATATCATAAAGAGCCATAGTAAGAATAGGCGTCTGAGTGAAATCGGAGCCGGTTGCTTCGGAAACTTCAGCTATGACATCTGCATATTGATTCATTCTTTGCGAATTTTGAAATATGGCACTATAGTACCATGACATGAAGTTAGGGCAGTTTAGTGACGCTAAATTCTGAAAGAAATTACGAATATGTAAGTATTTTAATATCAAGCATGTTCCGCTTTGTCGATGAGTTGCACGAAAGGACCCTCCCCTCAATGACATCTGTCATATTCCCAATACGTGAGCAACCCCGGACAACAATTCGCAATTCCCATGTACGTTTCAACAATATTATGCCGATTGGCAGATTTACAGTTCAACAATGCGGCTTCTAGTGGTATGGTCAGTATGACTACGTTATGGGCCGCGATAACAGTGGTTACCATCGATACGATAAAAAGAAAATACATAATATTAGTATAGCGTGTTATCTCTCTGCAAAATTAATTGAAATTTCAGCCAAGCTAAAGAGGTCTTCATTGATCAGGTTGAGCTCAGATATGGATTTTTTTTCTATGTTCCTTTTAACTTCCATCTGCCATCATTCCAGAGAGAAGACCTGTCTTTTTGATCAAATAGTAAATGAAGCCCATTTTAAATACTTATACCCACCATACCTATTTCTGTCGCCAAAGAGTAATGAAAGCATTACTGCGTTCCGGTTTTTTAAGGTTCTTAGTGACACTATGCTTAGCAGTTGCAGTATCACTCAGAGCTTCACATTGCAAAGATCTGAGGGACGTTGTCAGTCTGCCACTGCGCCTGTCACCCTGAGACATAAGTTGAAAATTCCCATGTGTCCGTAATATCACTAAAATCCTTACCCTTCAAACACGGAACGCAGTTATGTTCACATTACTGCTTGGCGGCAGAAATAGGCAAAGTGGCAATAGTTTCCTGGACGAACTCTTTCACAAGGAGCTCTGCTGCTACTTAAATCAGTACCTTAAACCTTGGACTTCCAAATTTGGAAGGAAGAGTGCTGGTGACACGACTGGCACATGCGGCTTGTTAACTTATGTCTCAGGGTAATAGAGGCAGTGGTAGTATTTCAACATTTCAACATCTCACTCCGCATAAATAACGATAGCCAGATAGATTTCGTCTTCTAAGATAAACTATTGAAATTTACTAATACTATGAAACTTACTTTTCAAAGCCAAGTTCACAAATATTTTACAACACGACTGAGGCGATAAATATGTAACTTTCGATGAAAGCAAAGCAATTGTAAAAAAATATAATTGTATGTGTTTGAAAAGTAACATATATATTTAAGTATACAATAATGCTTACAAAATCATACTGAACGGGTACAGTTGTATACGGTACAGGGTCCCAGTTAATGTTTTCACTCCAAGTGTCAAAAGTGGCTGGATACACCGCGGACATTGCAGTCAATACTGTCATCTTAGCTCTTGTAGAATCCGTAGATCGGATGTAGATCTCGGATTTGTTATATTTTGGAGATAGCAACTGGTTGTATCTACGACGAATAAATCTACCTACATTGTAGCCAGTTCGTTTGCCAGCCTGTAAAAAAAGTATCAACAATTCAATATAAAATGGTCCAGGACGTGTACACGAGATTCCGGAACAATACGACCCCGAGGAGAGATGAGTTAGGTACGCTAAGTCAGGGCGTAAACAACTGCGGACGCGCGGACCCGCCTCAAGCATCTCATGGATGACTGCTTGAGAACGGGGTTGTTCCCGAGATGCTGGAAGAAGGGAAGGCTCGTCCTGGTGCCCAAGCCGGGCCGACCTGCGGACTACTCCCCCTCGGGGTTCAGGCCCCTCGTCCTGCTGGACGAGGTGGCGAAGATCCTAGAGCGAATCATCGCCTCCAGGATCAACGAACACCTGAGGGGGACAGGCCCCGATGTGTCGCAGCGGCAGTACGTGTTCAGGGCTGGACTCTCCACCCTGGACGCCCTGGAGTCGCTGCGACACATCGTGGAGGAGGGTAACGGCGAGAGGGAAGGCGTGGTGGCTGTGTCGTTGGACATAGCCAACGCCTTCGGCACTCTCCCTTTCGCCGTTATTAGGCGCTGAGGTACCATAATATTCCCAGGTACAGGCACTGTAACTGTTATGGGCAGGCGTCTAGCTTACCATCAGTCGCACGACTTGTTCGTCCCGTCACTTGATATTATTAAAAAAGAAACGTTGGTTGAATGATGGAAATTATTTTTTTATAAAAATCTTGTACTTATATGTATATTGTAAAGAACTTAATAAATTGCAAACTATTGTATAGATGATATATGAGTAATTACTACATTTGCAACGAATATTCGGCCGAATACCTAAAAACAGGATTCAGAAATAAGAACATACATAAAATTATCATAATTAGTAACTTCTATGAGATCAAAAAACACTGCCTATTTATTATGTAATTTTGTCATGAACTGCTAATAAAATCAATCTAGTATTTATTATTTGTAAATTTTCGTAAGACCATTAATCAGGCCGAATAGTTTGTTCGAATATTCGGCTATTCGGCCTCGCTCCGGGCCGAATATTTGGTATTCGGCCTGAAGGCGAAATACTATTCGTTGCAACACTAGTAATTACGTCATAACGAATTTACCGCTAAAACACTTGTGTCAATATCACATGAGAATCGGAATCCAAAAATACAATTTAAAAGTACAATCGATAAGTCATGCTAAAGTACCAACTAGATATAGCTAACATTACTTGTTGATTAGCTAGTTGATTAAAGACTGGGCAATTAGTGTATTGATTAACATAATCTTTAATCATTTGTTGTACTTGCCGATGCTCGCGCATTGGATGCGACTACATGCGGTCGTATTGGATATAAATGTTGTTTTGTTTTTGTGTCACTGTACTTATGTATTGTACAATTAACTAACCCTTAGACCTAAGCATTTTGTAATTTACTAACAATTTATGGACCAGTTCCGAAATAAATGATTATTATTATTAATACCCGCGCTAATCACAAATTATTCAACAAAGTTGGGTAAATAGGATATCCACATTTAGTGCATCAACATTACAATTGAATATATCAATATCCAGGTCATGATTGCTCAGCACACTATCCAAGCTCTTGCTAGCTCTAAACTATTTTGTCTATAGTTAGTCCTCGCTAAGGGCTGTTCCCAATAGGGTGAGAGTGTCTCATAGAACGAGTAGGTACAATAAACGAAATATCACCCAATAAGTCAAAGCAGTCAATATTACCATTTTTCGGCGAATATTTAGAAGTAATAGATTCAGATCCTTACAGAGAGACGTGGATAGTCGCATGAATTATAAGGCTTACTCAATTTACAGCATAAGAATTTAATAAGTTTATTTTGGACTCGTTCAATTCTATCTATATAGACTTGATATCTTGGACTCCGACTTGGGAAGCATGTTCCAACTTACTACGAACATATGCACAATATAATATTCGTAAATTTCCTGGCCTGGAGAAACAGACTTAGCATTATGAATCCAAGAGACTTAGTAGCCTTGGAGATAACATCATCAATATGAGCATCAAACATGAGCTTTGAGTCGTGGATGACACCCAGGTCCCTCATGACTGTCTATCGTTCTAGACAGCGGTTTTTCAAACTATAAGAAGTAAAAATAATTTTGACCTTGCGTTTTATTACCTATCTAGGTCGATATGTAATCAGTTTTTAGTTCGTCAGTTTAGGTTCTTCAATACCGTTAAGATTCAAAAATATTTTCTTTTTAATTTTTTTATTTAATTTTAGGCTGCCGTCCTGAAAAGCGAGATGGAAATTCTATTCACTGGTATTTTCTCAAATTCTGAATTCCAAGCGTGCTTAAAAGAACTTAGGGAATGCTTTGTTGTTTTTTTTAACTATATACTCATACCGAAAATGCGTTGCTGAGGATAACAAGTCAGAGTAGGTTAAACTCACCTAATTAACTGGTATATTTTATTGGGTGACAAAATGTTTGGAAGCTAATACAGATTTAAATGAGAAAATTTTACACTTTTAAAATAAACGTTAAGTGAGTGTAAGT